ATATCTACTGGTGTTATTCAGACAGTAAATCAACTATACAAACACAAAACACATAAATGTTGATTTGGGGGAAGAAGAGTGACATCATGAACCGCCCCTATTGGCTGCACACAGACAGACAGGGCAGCAGCTGGAGCTCCAACCAAAACACAACAGCTAGCCTATCAGAGCTACTGTTGCTGCTTTGTGGGTTGGACTTCATTTAACTTTTTGGAACTAGTAAAGAACTAGTGGCGAAAAGGCCAACTCATGTCGCCTGTGTCTTGGCCAAAGAGTTGCACTTGAACACACCACAAAGACTTCTGCCAGCCGCGAACTAGCATGTACATTCTGCGCCTGCACGTGTGCATGTGCTGTTTCATCAGGTTGCTTGAATTGCCGACTTTTTTGCCATGAGAAATCGGGGTGCACCGGGGCTGTTTAGTGTTGAGAGGCTGGTGGCGGAACGAAGTACTGGTTGAAAGCAGGAGTCGGCTGCGTGTGGAGGCCTGAGGTGATGAGGACGCTGACAAGGCAGAGGCTGAGGCATATCCGGGGACTGAAGCTAGGTGTGCATGGAAAGCTTGGCCGGAATGGATACAGAGAATGACGTTACACATGACAACTCTGACTGCTATCAGGCAAGATTGCCTGAACAGGAGAGCATAATGGGGAAGGGATGATTTGATTTCTGCTGAGGAATCACACATCGGCTTGCTGCTATCGAGGAGAGACTGAAAAGACAAAGGTAATGTGAACGATTGCCAAGCTGCCTAAAATGACAGCTGACAGGAGCAAAGTGGAGATTTAAAGTTTGGCAGCAGCAACATGAATGGCTGAAGGAGATCATGGCAAAGTTTGACTGGCTAACCTGGAGAGGGAACACCATAGTCAGCTGATTGGTGGAAGCAGTAGGAGTGGGATAAAGGTAAAATTGTCAATGGATATAGCATAAATAAAGTCTACCTTACTGAACTTATGCTGAGCTTTATCACTCTCCATCGCAGCAGGCAGCATCATCTGTACTCACCACTGAAAAAGGGGAAGCTGTAAGACCAACAGGATGGATTCAAGACGCTAGTTAGCCAGTTACCACATTAACAACTGAACCTGATGTCGAAAGAACAAATTCTATTTACTGTGAGTCAGCGAACAATAATACAAACAATTACAAAGTCTTTCTGCGAAAGAGCTCAGTGGCTAGAAGAAATCTTACCTAATGAATCGGACCAAATGTAACAACTTTATTTTATTCTCACGCCCTCGTTTGTTTGCCTTCCTCACTTCTGTTTGCCTTCTCTTGTGCTGAGCTGAACTGCCAATCACAAGGATTTCTCTCACCAACGGGCTCCACCATCTAGGACGCCAAATCAGCATGCTGAATCGACCAAAAAATAGGCCACAAGGGCCGGCTAGTGCCAGCCATGCAGGAAATGCCCCAAAATTAGGGCAACAGATGCTCATCGACTGCCTGCCATTGACCTAAGATGGACTGTTGGCTTGGTGTGATCACAAGATACAAGCTCAATGTTGAAGGTGAAGTTTAAAGAATCCACATGAAAAATGCTAGATGAACACAGCAATGAGTGTGCAGGAAATAACATGAAAAAGTAGCATCTGAAGGGTATGTGTGCTAACGTTAGCATGCTAGCATTTAATTTCCAAGGGCAATTGGAATTTGAAAGTTTGACGGTTTAAATTGATAACGTTTGATAGCCAATGTTATGTTGGTTTTGTGAAAACATAAATAACATGACATCAATGCTCGTAAGCTTTACAGGTTGATGACATGCTCCAGTCAGTAGTGCATGACAGAAGTGATGGTGTGTCTCCCAGCAAGCCTGGCCCTGTCTTGGGAAACGCCCATTCAGAGGCTTCAGTTGATACACCGAAAAACCATGGTCCCGGACAGTACCTGGTACTGAGAATCCTCCCTTGCATGAAACAGGACATTCTGCATAAACTAGCTGTTTTTAAGGCAGCTGTAATATCTGCCCTGTTTGGTTCTTTTCAATTGAACTCAAGTTGGTTTGCCCCCTCAGGGCTGTTTGTTTGGGCAGGTGTGAACACAGCAGTCGTGCTCAGGTGCACACCAAAACAACCGGACCGAGACCATCCTGAAGAGGTGGTCTCGGTCCGGTTTTAAACAAATGTGTCCTGACCTTGATCCGAACCAACTGCAGTCACATTACACATTGTTTGGGTTAAACAAGCATGAGCACGTTACAGTCCTGGAGGATTATTAATGTGCGCCTCCTCCTGTACTGCCTTATTCCACGTACACCACCACGAGGGGGAAACAGCTGGGTAACAAAATCGAGAATAAACAATAATGAAATCATTACCATAAAAACACAATAAAATCAGGACATATGCAATAATTTACAAAATGAATACATCTTACAAATCTATTTATTTAAAAAAAAAACATCATCATGATTCATCATACTCGTTGCAATAAAATGACAAAGTAAAAGGACACTGGGGAAACCTTGCAGTGACATGTTCAGAGGAGTGTATCAATGCTACGTGTTTGTGTTGTTCACTGTTAAGAGCATTTGGCACGGAGCCCTATCATTAACCTGTGAGCTCCAGTACTGTGAGTATGTGTGTGTGCGTGTGTGTTCGTGATAGTGGTAAAACCCATTTTGAATACTGCAACAGCTCTATCACAGAGAGAGAGAGAGAGAGAGAGAGAGAGAGAGAGAGAGAGAGAGAGAGAGACACACACACACACACACACACACACACACACACCTGTGGAGAGGCTTTATGGAGACGCACTGGAAGTTTTTGAAGAAACTGTCACAATCAATCAAACCCAAACACACATATTGTATCAATATGTCTCAAAGTGGGTTTTCGGTTTAACCCCTTAGTGTCCCTAACTGAAAATAAAATATATTATTGTAGCAGGATGTGTACAGGTTTGTCTGGGTGTTTCCTGAAGCTATGAAATAAACTCTTGGAGTTCTTCAGTCAGAGATATTTATGGATTTGGGGATTGTTTGGATGGGATAATAATTAAGTATTCTGCACTGGCTGCCCAGCCAGGCCGAATTTGAGGCGTTTTGGTGCACAAAGTCAGAGCTAAGTGAACAACAGATTCATGGTTTGAATATGTAACATCCAATATTTTAAAATAATCATATCTTTAAATGTTTTAGTTCTGACTGAGGGTAAAAAATATGTCCAGAGTACAGCTTCACATGCGCTGACTGACCTGACCACAGCCTGATATTGCTCATACAGTTCCGATAGTTGCTTAAAATACCTTTTAAAACTATTTAAAACATCAAACAAAGCGCTAACCAAGCCCAGTCAGTGAAGGAGGAAACACAGCCTGGCACATCTTACGACAAACCTAACAGGTTTGTTTGGGTCCTGCTGGGTTTGGACACAAACGGCCTCACTTTGTGTGTGTTGTTGCTGGAACTGTGAGCGTGTGTTCACACAGCAGTCAACGTGATACGATTCATTCATTTGCTTAAAAGAAAACCACCGCAGAGACTCAGCAGAGGTCAGCCGACATGTGTTGGGAACAGATGACTTTCATTATCAGCTGGTAAAGTTTTTGTTGTGCAGATATGAATTTCAGTTTTGGCTGGTAAGTGCAAGGTACAATTTTTCTCTGAAACAGTGGAAAAAACATCCTAAATTATTTAAATAATGGGCTCTGTCTAGTGTCAGAGTTCGAAGCTCTGAAACTGAAAGTTTTCTGGTTACATTTCTGGATAGTTAGTAATATTTAAAGGTCCACTGTGTAGGATTTAGGGGCATCTATTGGCAGAAATCGTATATAATATTCAGAACTATGGTTTCATTAGTTTATAATCACCAGAAAAAAATAACTGTATTTTCATTGCCTTAGAATAAACCATTTAAATTTACATACAGAGCAGGTACTCCCCCGTAGTGGAGTCCCCCATGTTGTTCTACAGTAGCTCAGAAGTTTCAGTTCTGCAATCTCACTGCTAGGTGCCACTTAATCCTGCACACTGGACCTTAAAAACTGGAAACAGCTAGCCTAGCTAAACCAAAAATGACAACAAGAGGATTTACAAAAATGTTAAAAAGATTGGTTCAGCATTTTGAGAAGTTAGCACATTTGCTCCCTTTTGTAAAGATGAAGATCGATCTGAATGCCATGTCTGTGTGCTGAGTCAGAGTTTTGTTAGCTTAGCTTAGCATCAAGACCGAAAAACGACCCCACAGCTCAACTGTGCATGCAGCTTATTACGACCCATACTTACGTTTATTGTAAGGCGGCTCCCTCTAGTGGTTGTAGTAGTTATTATGGGAGCAGAGATGTAGGTGAAGTGACTTGCATTAAAAGTGACAAAGAGTAATGTCGCATTAAGATGGGAAAAGTGCCTGTATGATAGACGGTAGCAGTGCTGGATGGGTCAAACATGCACAGGACTTATACCCAGGAGACTGCTGTTTGTACTACAAAGTCAATGTTAACTTCTTTTAATTACAACAAAGCCAAGTATTCTACTATGTGAAGCATACTAGGCTAGTGTCATATGTGACTTCTTCCATGAGACATAAGTCATGTTACGTTAGTGACAAAAGTACTTATTTAACGCCATATTATGAGGATTTTGCGTAACTTAACTACCTAACTTTGTTGCCTAAACCAAACTACATAGTTTTGTAGCGTCGACTGTTTCATAATGTTAAGGATGGGTTTAAAACTGCGACTGTTATAAGAGTAATATATGTTGTTTTAAAAGTCAGTGGAAAATGGATCTATTCTTTTGTTTAGGTATGAGAAAGTGTTGCATTAAAACTGAAAGCAGATAAAAGAGTTAGCCTGGCTCTGCCCAATATTAAAAATGCCTACCAGCACCTCTAATTAACACATTTTAAAGTTTGTTTAATCTGTACACAAACTGTAATGTCAGCATGATCATTTGTGGTTTTAGGAGGCATTACATTGTAGAACTATTACTTCATCAACAGTTTATCCACCCGCTCAGACAAAAAAAAAAAAAAAAAAAAAAAAGCTACGGCATCACACAAAAATGTCTACAGATTAAACTAACAACCTACAATGTGTTAATAAGTGAGCTTTAGTGGTGCTGGTGAGTGTTTTTTTTATTAACTTCAGACAAAGCCAGGCTAGCTGTCTTCCCCTGCTTCCAGTCTGTAAACTAAGCTAAGCTAAGCTAACCACATCAAGACCACACAGCACACATGAGAGATTGTGTTGATCCTCTCATCTTGGAAAGAAAGCAAATAAACTTATTTCCGCAAGTGTTGAACTTTTCCTTTAAAAAGCAAAACTGAGAAACATGCATGGTTTTCTTTTTCAAAACATGGAAGTAATAGCTTGTTGCACCAGAGCCCACAGAGAGTCATGTTGCTCACAGTGTGAACACATGAGACTCGATTAGTGAAGCAAGGTTTTAAAAATCTGGAGGTGGGAGACTTTGATGTCGTCAAAATGTAACCCAGGAAAAGGCTTGTGTTGCTCGTCAGTCTGTCGTTATAAAACAGTACATGCAACTCTTTGTCTCACATACTGTAGCACAGCACTCACACCAACACACACGAGACTCTGGTAAAATAACAGCAGGATACATTTCAGAATATCTATAAAAGAAGAGTGCTTGCTGTCGCCACTTTTAGTGGCTGTTCAAGTGTTGATCTGGCGATTTGAACCAAGCACACCTCCATCAGTTCAAATATTGGCACCACGTACAGTATATCTCACACACAAACACACTAACTGCATATCTCCGTGTAAAGCTTAAAAATGTCTCTCATTTTAAAATCTCTTAATTTTTTAAAAAAACTAGAGAATAAAAGTAAATATTGTCCTTTTGTTAAGGTAGGAATACTCTGGGGTGGTAGTTGTAGTGCAATACCTCTCGTGTGGAAAGCACGCGGAGCACTTTCGTTTTCTAGGACTTCTGCTGCCCGTATGAACATGTACTCCGTGACAGAAATAAGGCTCAGGCTGCCTAAACCTCCAGTCTCTGCGAATATAAAATAACTTTAGACATGTGACGTAACAGAGATACGGTCCGTCTCTCCAACCCCAACCACCCCTTGAATTTTCCACACTTCCTCAAAAAAGAAAATTCAACGGGGAACTCTGGTGTGCCGTTACTCTGAGAGACTCGAACCTTGGCATTGGAAGAAAAAAAAGTAGTCCAGCCTGAGCGCTCCTTTAGTTATCCCTTGTGGTAACAGAGGCAGCAGATCTGTATCGTGGTCCTTTATTCCCAAGTGGCAGTGACGTCTCAGAAGCCAAATGTTCCTCAAAAATTCAACTCTGGATTCTTCAGAGCTTCTTGTAGTGCTATGATCTGAACTGGGAGCAAATATATCTGTGTAAAAAAAATTCACTGGAAGCGCCACAGATTTCAATGTGTCTTCACAGAAGTCTCATTGGTGCTTAGAAAAGTCCCCTGCTCCTCCACTGCAGAGCTGAGAAACCCTGAGCACCGCTTAAAGCACTGAGATCGAGTGTGTCAGGCTTCTGTTTCCAAAGCTATGCGTGTCATTTTACTCCCAACGTCCGTCGCATGGAAACAACTGGGTGTCCCAGAAATCGTCTATGGGCGTGTGTCGGTTGTGTGTGTGGTGTTTCCTGTGAGCGCTGCAGTGTGTGGGTGCGGGGGAAAGTGTTTGTCAGTCCATCTCCAGGTCCATCAGTTTGTTGCGTGAGCGTGGGGTGTGCGCGGTGTTGCGGCAGCAGCACTGGGCGCAGACCAGACCCAGGACCAGAGAGAAGAGGCCCACACCTGGAGACACACGATAAGGTTAAAACCACAATACCAACACCACTCCTACACCACCAGTACCTCTACTATTGTTACTACTAATTTTACTCATACTACCATTACTGGCAGAAGAGCTATTTACAGCAGCCAAATCCCTTCCTGGTATCACTATAAGCCTGTCCACCTCAGAGATATTTCCAGGAACTTTTTTTTTAGAAACCTACCTGCATTTTAACTCTGGCTGCACAATACCAGGAAAATATGTCATATGCCATACACAACAAGAATATCACTTGCAATAAATAAAGACATTTTCGAGCATCAACAGATGTTAAAGTGTTCCTAGTTCTTGACTCAGACTTGCACAGTACCTGTGTTTGTGCCATACTGTCTCTCCTATCTGTATCCAAAATGTTGCCAGACAGCTGAAGCGCTATTTTTCTCAGGCACCAGTTCCTTTTTGGCATTCACACTTTGTCTGCACTCATGTTGTCTCACTTTCCTCCCTCAACAATGCAGAGTAGCATGGCAGCACTAGTCTGATACACCTCACTCGCCAAAAAGTGCACCTCCAGGCAGACTTAATTTAATACATTGAACCTATATTTAAAGTGTAGTATTGCAGTCTTTTGCGATGTGTTTATCATGCAAGTTGCCATAGCAATAGGCCTTTTTCCACAGATGGCATTTTCACATGTCACAGTTGGGGCCAGACTTTGGTATCAGTTCTATTGAAGTTAATTAGGCGGGCACGGCAAATCACGCTATAACGATACCATACAACACGATACGATACCATACAGTATGATGCGATGCGATACGATACGATACGATACGATACGATACGATACCATACCATACCATATACTTATTGTCCCTGTAGGGAAATTCAGGAGCTGCACAAGTATTGCTGCCTTATAATAACAGTCCATTGGCTCTGAATATTATTCTGACTGGACTCAAGAGTTAGGTAAATATCCACCAAATGAGGACTTGGCCATAAGCTACAATGCTTTGCAGTTTACTCAGTGATTTCCATTAGTACTAAAGTTATCTAATGTTAGCCTTGATTATCAGATAGCATGCACATAAGTCATAACCTTGAGAGCCTGTGAAATTTTGCTATCACTTATTAACACCACAGCTCCCTGGCTGTTCCTTTTACACCTTCATGATTATTTTTATTGACGTTGACAGTTTTATCTCCCAATTAATGTCGGGCATCTGTTGGCTGATGTCAGTTAAACAAGGTGCAAATGCTAACTTAGTTCACTGACGAACAAAATAATAAATACAATTAGCCCCACCCTCTGATCATATTAGGAAACATTACAGAGCTGGCTAACATCAGCCCTTTTGAATATTATTAAACATCATTAACCATTTGCAGGTTGGTGAGATATTGATAATCTAATACATGTAACCTACAGTATGACTTGCTCACAGCAGCTTTTTGCAGCTGATGGACAGAGCCATGATCTGTTTGGAGACCTATAACAAGGAAAACAAAGGTGCATTTTTCAATAAAAAATGTCAGCCCACATCATGAAATGCGTGTGTGTAATTTGGTGGAAGGAATTTTCAGTCTCAGGTGAAATAACAAACATATGATGGGTTATAGTGTGATTTGCCTTGCCCATCCCACTGACTTCAATAGAACTGACACCAAGTTCTGGCTCCATTGCAAAATCTGAATACTGTCACTGACGTCATGTCTTTTCTTTTGCAGATTCCTTGACACAGGTGTAAATAATGAAATGCATCAGCTCTCACTGGAGCACTTGAATAGAACAGAGCTATCGTTGGTGTTAGTAGTAACACCTGTGCTTTTCTGACTATACCAAGTCAAAATGTCTGCTGTGAGAAGAGCCTGTGAAGATTAAAGAACATTGGCGAGGGGACGCTACAACTTCCTTAACTATTCATTTAAAGGACTGAATGAAACTAGAATCAGCATTAGAGGCTATTACAGCTACCAGCACTACTACTACACCCACTACTAATGCCTCCAAACTAAGACTCTCTTCATGAATAATACCTAGGGATGTCCTCAGCTCTTTCACAAGATTAGCATCAGTGCCAGTTCAGGCATAATTTATTGATTACTATTGGCTATATTCAGCTTAAAACAAAAAATTCAGATTCTTCTCTTATTTAAATCCACTGTGCACTGCCATTGCCAGCTATCAGACATGTGTCCTAAATAAGCCTGAGCACAGCACTGTCAGCCAGTCGAGCACAGAAAGAGTAACTGTAGTCTATCAGCCAGCAGTTTGAGTGGAGACGTCCACAGTGACAGTGAGCGTCAGAGCCAAGTGAACACCAAATAAAACTCACTTTTACATATTTTTAGAGACATTTTGCTGCTGCTGGCTGGAAACTGCATTCAAACTTATATAATAGAATATCTACCTCAACATTTCAGCAAACTACAGGCTATAATAGTTTGTCATTCTCTATAGCAACAGCAATAAACCAGATGTTGATGGACTGTACACAGTACTAGAGTATAAAACGTTGAATCTTTGAATCAAAAATCAATGATTCAACATTGCATTGTTCCTATTACTTGAGTGTGTGATGGTTACGTTACCTATTGAGGCTGCTACTCCATATAACAGAGGTAACTTAAGGGACTCCCACACTGCAGAAGGACAAAGAAAAAGAGATTTAGTGTTTAACAAGACCAAATAATGTAAAAACTGTGAATTAAATTAGACATTCGTTGTATTATCTCACCAGCAAATCGAACTGTAAGGAAGACTCGAGATGACGTCAGCTCTCCAGCTTGAGTCCAGGCTCCAGTTGAGGCCGACAGGTACCAGGGAGTGGCAACGCAGTGATACTCACCACTGTCACTGGAAACCACAGAGCACAAACAGACATGGAGTAAGACCGCAGCTACGAACAAGAACAAAGCACGGTCGAAAATCTCCACACTCACCTGTCCTGAGTGCCGTGAATGTTCAACATGTAGGTGTGTGTGTCTTTGCGCTCTATCGAAACGTCACTGGATGAGTTGCGAGTGTCTTTCCTCACAACGCCGAAGCGGTCGACGCTGGCCACCTGGGTCGTCGTCTCTCCACCGCGCAGCCTGGTGAAAAACCAATGCACCTCATACGCCAGGTCATCTGAGAGAGACGGAGAGAGAAAACTTTAAGTTAAGCTGTTATATGTTTTTTTTTCATTCAAGAATATATTCATTATATTTCTCATATACAACATAGAAAAAAACTGAGACATAAGAAAAGACAGTGGAAGTCCAACATATTCCAAGTAAGGGTCCCAAATTTATAGAAAGCATCCAATGAGTGAACAAACATGAGATATATTCACTGGGAACACACTCTGTTATCAGATTGTGCCACAGCTCTTTTGTTGGAGATGCATCCCTGATCCAAAAGAGAAAAATATTCCTCTGGGCAGCAAAAGTCAATAAATTGAATAACCTCCTGTGTTTGATATTTATAATATGACCATCTGGAGGACCAAGTGGGAGGCTGTGATATGTAAAAAAAAAATAACAACAAGAACAAAAAAAGGCAGTGTGTGCTTGGTCCTTATTTGCCAAGAAAAGCCCCAACCACCTTTACAGCCACAAAGTCTTTTTAGATTTCTATTTGTATCGAAATAACTCTACTGTCTATGAGACTGTTAAGAGTTTCAAATCAGAAGATTCAAAGATGTGTAGAGTTGTTGTATTTGGATGGATATAATAGATCCTAAGCACCACCTCTTTCCATAAATGTACCAGTCTCGTGACAATTCAGTGCTCTGCAGGGAAACCTTTGATCTTGGCATTCCATCCAAACACCTCTGCAGACCGAGTACCCCTCCTCATGGCAACAGCACTCCCTGATGGCAGTGGCCCCCCAGCAGGACGATGCACCATGCTTAACAAAAACTGCTCAGGAATGGCCAGAAGAACGTGACAAAGAGCTCAAGGCATTGACCTGGACTCCGACGTCCCCAGATCCCAATCTGAACAAGCATCCTTGGGACATGCCAGCACCCCAGAGGTAGCCCCAATCCACGGTGAGGCCTCCTTGTGTGTGTCCAGTGGTGTCTGGCGCCAGGGTGTTGGCAATGGATTCTTTAAGTTCTGTGGGTTGTGACATGGGGTGCCGCCACCAGTCCCACAGATGCTTGATGGCATTGGGATGTGGGGAAGTTGGAGGCCAGGTTGACGCCTTTAACTCTCTGCCACGTCCTCTGGCTTTTCCTGAGCAGCTTTTCGAGCGAGGCATGTCGCATGGGGGGACTCAACTCTGCACCAGTCCATTAGAACTGAAGAAGCTTGGATAAGAGGTGAAACATCTTCAAGACACTCAAGCAAGTCCAGTTGCTCAGGATATAGCACTTTAGGTAGTGCTGTTGTCATGAAGGGGCGTACTTGGTCTGCAATGATGTTTGGGTGGGTGGTGCTTGTCAACTGGCATCCACATAAATGCCAGGACCCAAGGTTTCCTAGCAGAGCATTGCGTTGTAACAAGATGTTATTCACTTCACTTGTCAGTGGTTTTAATGTTTTGGCTGGTTGGTGTTTATTGCCCAGCTCTAGTAGAGAGGCATGACTGTTAAAAGATGTGTGATAAATTTATCTGTCTGACTTTTCAGTTGCTCCCACTTGTGCAGGATGACATCATCACTAAAGAGGCTCTATTCTCCAGAAAGTTAAAGTGCCCATTTTATGGAGTCTTTATCTTAAGCTAACATTTACTTTAGTTAAAAGCCAGCCTGCGATTAGTAATGTTAAACTGTGGTAGATGTTTCCATATTTATTACCAAAACAGGTCAGTTTGGAATTGTAGATGTTTTATTGCATCATTTAAATGACTTTAACCAGATTTGAAACAGTCGTAGTCATCACATGACGTGACTGTAAGTATTTACAGAACCGTCTTAGTGTACCTATTACAATATGGAAATTGTGGGAGACAGCGTGTTATTTTTGGATGTACAATGCAGCCCTGATTTCACTGTGATGACGACGGAGGAAACGAAGATAACCAAAAACCAAAAGAACAACTCCATTATCACCACATTTAAACACACACCAGCTGCTGCTCCTTCTTCTACCAGAAGACAGAGAGATGGACACACGACAGAAAAAATGAGGATAGTGATGACAAAAGAAAGAAAACAGGGACAAGAGAGAATTTATGATAATAGATGTAATCTTTGGAAAGGGGGCGAGCAAGCTAATTATTTCCAAGAGCAAGACAGAGTGAGAGAGAGAGAGAGAGAGAGAGAGAGAGAGAGACAGAGAGGCACAAACTAGTCATTAGTCTGCCAGGGAGAGAGGGACTATTAGCACTGTACCTCCTACACACACACACACACACACACTGAAGCACAATAAAAACCCCATGCAGCCTGAGTCATCCTCTGTCATTTAGGAGACAAATAGAGAATACAGATGAAAAAATAAAGCGAACATTTGCGAACGACAACGTGGAGGGGGAAAAAAAAGACAAATGATGATGAAAAACAATTACGGCAAAAAAAAAAAAAAAGAGGAAAGAATGAGAGATGGAGAAATGAGGGAGAAGAAAGAAGAGAATATAATGAAGAGAAAGACTGAGGAGAGGAGTGAACTCACCCACAGCAGAGTAATGAATCACATCTCAATTTCTCTCTCCCTCTCTTCCCTAATGGTTTTAATATTCAAGTGCTACATCATTAAAAAGCGGTAGTCGCACGAGCAGCAGCAGCAGCAGCAGCAGCAGTAATAACACTGGCCTTGGTTTTAGTTTAGTGTCCCGTGGTCTTCATATTAGTCATTATCTGACAACTCTGTCAGGTCTGTGACACCGAAGTCCAGACTCTTCCTGCCAACTGGACACTAGCCTACGATACCTGCCTAAATATCTCAATACTGATACTGAAATGATAAGACACCAAAAATCTAAACATCAGGAAAAGTAATGGAACTTAAAGTCTTTGTTTCCAATTATTAACTTTAAAAACCCAAACAAAACAGAAAATATGTCCACATTTGCCAGACATGCTCCACACAGTCAGCAACACAGCCTCGGAGTGGTCGACAAATCAGGAACGCAGGCTCTGATTGCTCGACAGACTCCACCCAAGGCACCATGGACAACTAGTGAACAGCTAACAACAACTGTTTCCAACATGGAAAATGGAAAAATAGTCACAGATGACATCATTCTGGATTTATTTCACAAAGTTTCCAAAAAGACACTGGAGTTCAAGGTTGAATTACAAAACATCTGAAAAGGATACGACTTACACCAACAGTTACTGTTTTCAACATGAAGAAATGGACCAATAATCACAGAGGTTATTCAGTGTCAGATTTATCATTATAAATTTCTTTTATAAAGTATCAAAAAAGACACCACAGTTCAAGGCTGGATTACAAAGCTTCTGAAAGGGACAAGATCTCACTGAAGCAGCTGGACAGTTAGCTTCTGGGAAAAAAAGTAAGTCTCTCATGTGCAGCGTTCCAGAGATATTTAACATTAGTAACATTTTGTTGTATATGACATTGTCGACTCAATAGTTAACTTCTATAGTGTCCAGTATGTCCGATTTTTCTTATCAGTCCTGTTCAGCTTTTAGAGGGGAGACAGACATAAGCACATACCTCAGCCAGAAAGCTTCGCTCTAGCGCTACAGTTCACAGTTTATTTTCCGATAAAGTAACATTTGACTACACATTTATTTTGCACTTGCCAGATAATCGTACATTATTTCTCTTTTTTTAACGTTAAACTAGACTTCAGAATGTTGTCAGACATAAGAGGAATTCAAATTTTTATTCTAAGTAAAGGAAATAAGTTCCACCATTTTTAATGTTCACTATCAAAGAGAGAGAAAAGGAAAAAATTAAATACCTCTGCTCCTCATCTACACTGGCAGTCATAAAAAGCTAAAAAGCCTCCCTGCACACTGTTAAATTCTGACGAAACTGAGGGTGACGATGATGATAAAGATGCATTAGGACAGTAGGGAGAGGGGGCACCTTGTTTTTTTTTTTTGCACAAAGACAAGTAGCCGAGCGCTCCATCCAACCAAAGACGAGGAAACAGGAAGTGACACTGAATGAGCAGGGGTGAACGGGTCGACTGACCACACACACACACACACACACACACACATTAGAATCAACTGAAGAGTAAAGTTCTGACACAGAGAGCGGGGCTGATTCTCCCAGTAACATCCTGAAGAAAGCCCCCATGGTTCCTCACAGCAACATGAACTCTGTTACTGCAGCACAACTATGTTCAGTGAAAGATCAGTGAAAAATCAAAGTGCACCCTGGTAGCACTATAAGTTAATGGGAAAATAATCTTCAACAGAACACTCTGGGTGAGAAAGAAGTGTTTCAGGCTGTTCTCTAGGCAGACATATTGTCTGCATATGAGGCCTGCCTCAAAGTAAGCCTATACTCCACTGAGACCCTCTGCATGGGTGGGGTGGAGGCTTTTCTGACCCCTCCACCACTCCGGACCCATCCATCAGTCAGGGCTCCCATCAGTGCATGCAAGATGAAGGATAGATATGAGAAGAATGACGATCACCCGGGGTGTGGACTCAGAGCGACCTGATGTGAGGATCACGTTGTAAACTTACACCTGGTACGAGTGATGGTCGGGATGGATCACAAAAGAAGTTCAAGTTCAAGGGACGGAACCAAGTGTGAGCCATATTGTGAACATAACTCTGTATTAACTGTCCATCTGAGTAAAGTAACATAACTACAGGTTCCACTTGTGGCGCTGAAAACAAATGGAAGCCATGAAATATTACTGTGGTGACAAGCTATCTATGAAATGTTAAAACTATGTTGAATAAATACACATCCAAAAGGTGACAACTTCTAATTCAATTCAATTCAATTCAATTCAACAGAACTTTATTTATTCTGAAGGAAATTTGTGTGCTAGAGAAACACTAATGACAGTAACCACAATTTAACGTTAACAACCAGTGACAACCAGTGGGTTCCTTGGGTCAGGGTCACTCACTGGGCCCTGTTTTAGAACCATCGTATCGTTGTTCAAAGAATCGATATAACAGTGTACCGTGATGAAACTGGTGATTTACACCCTTAATAATAAAACCATCTGCATTTAGATCAGTTCCCTCTAAGCCGACTATG